TCACGGTACAGATGTCTTCATATTATTGGTGTTTTCATATTACAGCTATCTTTATATTAATGCTATCTTCATATTACTGCTGTCTTCATATTACAGTTATCTTCATATTACTGCTGTCTTCACGGTACAGATGTCTTCATATTATTGATGTTTTCATATTACAGCTATCTTTATATTAATGCTATCTTCATATTACTGCTGTCTTCATATTACAGTTGTCTTCATATTACTGCTGTCTTCACGGTACAGATGTCTTCATATTATTGATGTTTTCATATTACAGCTATCTTTATATTAATGCTATCTTCATATTACAGCTGTCTTCATATTACAGTTGTCTTCATATTACTGCTGTCTTCACGATACAGATGTCTTCATATTATTGATGTTTTTATATTACAGCTATCTTTATATTAATGCTATCTTCATATTACTGCTGTCTTCATATTACAGTTGTCATCATATTACTGCTGTCTTCACGATACAGATGTCTTCATATTATTGATGTTTTTATATTACAGCTATCTTTATATTAATGCTATCTTTATATTACTGCTGTCTTCATATTACAGTTGTCTTCAGAATATTGCTGTCTTCACAGTACAGATGTCTTCATATCATTGGTGTTTTCATATTACATCTATCTTGATATTACTATCTTCATATTACTGTTGTCTTCGTGAAGGCTGAATACTATCAGTGTGCGCATCGCTTGCATCTACTCAAGTACTGAACTAGTATCGCTTCCTCGTACGATAACATTTGAGGGCACTTGAGTGTTGAGTTTCTAATACTGGACTCGTAACGCTCCCTCGTACGATAACATTTGATTGTTGATTTGTCCAGTACTGGACGCGTAACACTGCCTCGTATGATACCATTTGAGTTTTGAGCGTACAATACTGGACTCGTAACGCTGTCTCTTATGGTTACGTTTTAGTGTTCCGTGTCGAATGCTGATAATTGTAAATTAACATTGGATTACAAAGATTATCTGCTGACAGGAGTTGGTGGGGTTTTTGTGGTTTTTTTTTTTAATTTTCCCGCAAATGCAAATGCGGCAACAGGTGCTAAAAATGCAAAGCCTGTGGATAAAGTAGTTTTATTTTTGTTAAGATGATAATAAAATATTTTGTCTCTGAACCAGGAATCCCAGTTTACAAAAGTCCATTATTTGCTTTTGAAGACTATTTTTTCTCGTAGGGAGAAGGATGCTGATTTGTGAAAATGAAAATAAAACTGTTTGTGGCTATGTGCTTGTGGCTCAGAAAGTAATTTGGTGGGTGCTAGTTGTTGAAAAATAAAACTGTTTGTGGCTATGTACTTGTGGCTCAGAAATTAATTTGGTGGGTGCTAGTTGTTAAAAAATAAAACTGTTTGTGGCTATGTGCTTGTGGCTCAGAAATTAATTTGGTGAGTGCTAGTTGTTGAAAAATAAAACTGTTTGTGGCTATGTGCTTGTGGCTCAGAAATTAATTTGGTGGGTGCTAGATATTGAAAAATGAAAAGGTTATTTGCTATCTTTGTGTCACAGAAAATACAGAGTCTATCTTACCTTCATTCACACTTATTTCAGCCCACCAACCCCCACGCACACAAACATACCTCTTCATCTAAAGAATCAATGACACGCGAAACTAAACTTACATTATAATCAGCAACATCAGTACTTAGACAGTTGTTGTGGGGTTTTTTTCGACTTATAACTAAATTAACAGCTATAAAGAGTTGAATACTGACGAATGAGTATTTATGGATTGACCAATGCTCTCAGTTTTCAGATGGGTTCAGTTTTTCATGCACCTAGAACAAGTGCATTACTTATATTGCTATGTTTATTCGGGTCAAATAAAATGTTAGGGTCAAATAAAATGTTATCTGCGATAAACATGTCGCTTGACTCATTCAAGATTTTATCATTTAAAGCGCTCTTCTGTTTACTTTACAAATCTTTGGCTTTTCAATTTTGAAACGTTCGTTGATAACAAAACTTCATATACGGTTAGGAAAGAACGTTAACTTGACCTTATATATATATATATATATATATATATATATATATATATATATATATATATATATATATATATATATATATATATATATATATATATATATATATATATGTATGTATATATATATAACACATCCCTACCCTAACATGTAGAAGGTCAAGTTATTCGCCATATGATTTGTATTCTTTATATATATATATATATATATATATATATATATATATATATATATATATATATATATATATATATATATATATATATATATATATATATATATATATATATATATATATATACACACACACACACACACACATACATACATACATACATACATACATACATACATACATACATACATACATACATACATACATACATACATACATACATACATACATACATACATACATACATACATACATACATACATACATACATACATACATAGAAATGCAGTAAACTGACAACGAACAGTGCAAAACTAATATCTAATAACCTGAGCGCTTTCGACTATAACAAAATCTTTTTCAAAGGCAAATACAAGACGTAGACAAAACAAACAAATAAACACAAAGACCTTTGTATTTGCAATACTTTGCATGGCTGTTTCTACAGGAATTAAATCTAAATTTATTGTTTATTTCAACTTGTTGCGGATGCTTGAAAATATTTTTATTGACCTAGAAATCGACGAGTCATAATGACATCTTTTGTTGTTTTTTTTTTTTGTAAATTTATATAAGCGCAAAAAATATTCTGGATATTTCATTGTCATAATAATTATAGACTATTAAGAAAAGTTAAAGAATTGTTTTTTAAAAAGATGTGTCGACTGCAAAATATTAAAATTTAATTTGTGCATGGCTGTATTTTTTCTAGTTTTCTTGGCTTAAACTGATTGGTTTCAAAAGCGGCTGATCCAGTAAGACTCCTTTTCTTTCCTTGTCTCAGAACTCCAGTTGGGGTTGTAAGCAATTGCAGTAAGTGTTATATCACTGAAAATGTGGCCATGGGAGGAGAAGTGTTCTGCGATCGGGCTTCTGTACAGCTTCTTTGTCATCCAGTCAGATCTATGAAGGTTTATCCTAATGTGTAGTTTTTCAGTTTCTCCGACGTACTGAAGGCTACAGATTTTACATGTGAAGAGAAAAGTTAATTCTGTTTTGCACATTTTGTTTGGACCATGTATGTTTAATTTTTCTCTAGTCACTGTGTTAGTGAATGTTTTGGTCTCTATCATATGTTGACAGCGTTTGCACCTTTTATCGCCACAGGGACCAGATTGACTAGGTTGGTCCTGATTAGTGATTGGTGTTAGCGTCGCCCTGACTATCCACATAGAAGGGAAGAAAATAACCCATTATCTACTATCCACACAGAAGGAAAGAAATTAGCCCATTATATACGATGCACTAACCAAGTATCTACTATCCACACAAAAGGAAAGAAAATAACCCATTATCTACTATCCACACAGAAGGGAAGAAATTAACCCTAGTGTCTGCTATCCACACAGAAGGAAAGACAATAACCAATTATCTACTATCAAATAACCCATTATGTACTACCCACATAGTGTAGGGATTATGCTTTTACTGTTAAGGAAAAAAATAAACACGTACACTCATACACACAAACGTACGAGCGCACACAAACACACATACCACAATCACACAAACGTATGAGATAATGGTCAACAAACACACATACACACAGACCTGCTCCCAGTTTATTTGTATGACTGGCAACGCTTAAGGGGTGGGGTGTTGGATGAGTGGTCTCATCATTCCAGTCTTCAGTTTCTGGCATTCTGAAGACTTCCATCTGTCTTTTATTTACCACTCGTGGATTTTGTGATCTCATTATCTCCTGCGCACGCCACCGTACTGGTATTTACTATGGTGCTGGTGGAGGTTGTGAGAAGAAAGGACAAAACATAACGTCAATAATGTGTAAGCCACCTGTGCAAATAATCTAACTTAACGAGTCTATAATTTCATTACTCTTTTATAGGAGTTTTAATTTTTTGTACTTGACGTACTTTATTTTTCTAAACAATACCAGTCAAGCAGTGTTTTTAAATAGCCAACAAATCAGGTTTGGTTTCATGGATCTAGCTAGTATCGAAAGAGGTCTTCAACAGCCAGAGTGGGGACAAAATAAGAAGAGTAGGAGGGGGAAGGGGGTTATAGTGGAAAGTCTCTTAACATCACAGGCTTGCTGCTGTTATGATTCCACCCAGGTGCTTGCAAGCATGTTTACCCTAGCACCTGTTTTGCGCCCTTGTGTCTCGAGAAAGAGTAGAAACGGGGGGGGGGCGGTTATAGGAGGAAGGCCTTGGTGGAAAATATTTTTATAGCGCAGGCTTGCTGTTATCAGGATTCCACCCAGGTGTTTGCTAGTATGTTTTCTCTAAAATCTCTTTTGCTCCCGTGTGTCCCGGAAAAGAGGACAAAGGGAAGAAAAGAAAGAGAAGAAAAAATAAAAACCTTAAGGGCCTTAATGGAAAGTCTTTTAACAACATGGGCTTGCTGTTATCAGGATTCCACCATGGCATTTGCTAGCATTATTTCTCTAACATCTGTTTTTCGCCCTTGTGTCCAAAAACAATTGGGGAATTTTTATTGTTATCATTCCCTTCCTTTTATTTTGAAAGCCAACACCTTGTCTTCTTCCCCATGCTGGTTTTCTTTGTTGTTCTTTGGTATAAGCTGTTATCTCTGTGATGTTTAGTGTCTTGATCCTTTGTCGTATCTATCTCATACGTCGTTTTCCTCTTTCTCCATTGTCTCTCCATTTCCTTCCTTTTCCCTACTTGTCATACTCTCTCTCTCTCTCTCTCTCACACACACACACACACACACACACACATACATACATACATACATACATACATACATACATACATACATACATACATACATACATACATACATACATACATACATACATACATACATACATACATACATACACAACCACTCTGGTGGCCTAGTGGTCAAAGAGTCCGCCTCGGATGCTGGTGGTCGCGGGTTCGAAGCCCGGCCGAGTCATACCAAAGACTTTCAAAAATGGTACTAATAGCTGCCTCGCTTGGCGCTCAACATTAAAAGGTTAGTGTTAGAACTGGTCGGCCTGGTGTCATGATAATGTGACCAGGTGGGACATTATGCGACATGTATGTGGCATGATGCCAGTGCTAGACATCACTATAAACTGTCACACTGCAGACATCGTAGCGATATAACTGAAAAGTTGCTAAAGCTACGTTGAAATCTGTTAATCTGTTGTAAGTTTTTTTTTATGGAGTTGCCTTTTAGCTAGCTTGCATCTGCTGACTTAGTTATGTTTAATTAATGTATTTTGGTTGTGTTTATATTTTTCCATGTTTCTTATTTTGGTTTTGGTATAGTATTATGTTCTTTTTTTGGTTAATTGGATGTCTATGTTTTGCATTTTGTCCATTAGCTCAGGATAAGTTGTAGAGGATCCGATCATCTTCAGTTATTCTAGGAAGTTATTTCGTTTCGTGAGGTATCTTGGACAGTTGTTGAAGATGTGATCGAGCGTTTCCGGCACAAGGCAGTGTGGGTAGTTAATGGTTTGATTTGGTTCCTCTTTAAGATCTGCCACAACTGCTTCTTAGTAATGTTTTGGCTGTTCTCATCCTGTTGATGATTTTGAGTCAAGGTTTAACATTTCTGTGGGTGTCTTGATGTTTCTTGTAACTTCTTTATGCAGCTGATATACGTGTCTGTCCTTGCTGCTGTTTTCACAAAGATGTTGCCATTTTTTATTTATTTTTTTGTTTGACTTAACCGTGGAGAGGGTGTATCCCCTTGCTTAGTAGGTTGTGTTTTTCCGAAAGATCTGCCTTGTCATTTCCGGTCCAGTTGATGTGATGGTACCCGCAGGAATTCAATGGTGTGCTGGTTTTCTACAAGTTACCTTATGAATAACATTGATTCTTCTAACATATTTCCTCAGCTTTTTGATGAGCCGGTGTCCAGGGATTTTAGTATGCTAAGTGAGTCTGTGATGATGACGTGTTGGTGGTGCTTTAGGGTTTGTATCCAATCGATTGATGCATTAAGTGCCCAGAAATCTGCAGTGTAAAGGGAGCAGCCATCCGGCAGTCTAACGCCAATTTGGATGTGGTGTTCTGTTATATCTGTTATCACAATGGCTGAAACTCTTCTATTGAGTTCTTTAGATCTGGATCCGTCTGTATAAATTTTAGTGTATCCAAAGTACATCTCTTCTATGATTTTGTAGATTTCTGTTATAATTCTCCTTGGGTTTTATTGTTTGGATCCGAATATTCGGGCTATTGTGCTCATTCTGGGAGCGTTTTTTCTCCATGGAGTGGTGTCGCAAAGTTTGTGTTGTTCCGCTTGGATGTGAGGTATTTGGATTTCCTCGCAGAAGCTATGTACTCTTTAGCTGGCTGGGGTGTTGTTTGGTACTAATGTGCTGCAGAAAGGTCTCTTGCATTCTTTCATTTCCATTTTAGTTGGGTTGGATTCTGCATGTATACAATTTCGGGCGACGTATCTCAGGATTTGCTCATTTGTCTTAAACTCAAATTGCAATGGTAGCACCTATGACACAATACTCCACAAAGATCTGGCAGAATAAGACGATTTGAGTTTTAGGCACATGTTCTCTACACCACACCCACAAAGGTTGATTTTGTAGTTCATGCAGAGAAGAACTGGGTGAAGGAGTATTCCCTGTGGTAGTGGCTTGAGCTGTGTTGAAGGGCATGATGGTCACTTCCTTTTATGGTCTATGACTTGAGAAGCAACGATCCAAGAATCAAAATTTAGAGGATATCTTTTCCAACGTACACGTTGTTTTACCACTTTTTCGGGTTATTTGTTCGATAATAAAACGTTCCTTTTAACACTTTTCTGTTCATGTCTTCCAATTTATAGACGGTAGGATAACGAAAACGCACTTGTTATGTGACACGAAACAATTCGGTTGTCTAAATGGGTAGGTAACCATTGTCTAAAGTGCTTTTGGTCTTGCCGATGTGCAACCAATCTGCCGCTGACAATACTCCATTTTTCTTGAAAAATCTACAGTAGGGCATGTACGAAACAGACGCTCAGACACACAATCACTTCGTTGTCGGAAGTGACTTTTTGAGGAGTATATCCAATGCTCCGATAGCAACGTTGGTTGTACGCTTGGACCAGGTGGGGTAAGATGTATATGTCCTTGAGCTGACCAAATGAGAGACATCGGCTAAATTGACTTGCCATTGCTCATCTATGCTCTTCACTAGAGTGCGACTTTTGGAAAATTTTTGTTGCATGGCTTTGTGGAAGGTGTACGTGGCTTGTTCTTGTAACTATCGTTATACTTGAAGTAAACGGACACTTACAGTTGTGTTCTGGCAGCATGGTACAATTTCTCAACTCCTCCCTATCCCGCAGAATGAACTGGATCGTATTTAATGCTAGCTCATTTCCATTTTCTTTTCATTTTCTTCTTCATTTTTAATAAGTTACCCACTCTTCACTGATGCCACTTTCGATGGGACGAAATGGTGGTTTGTAAATGGCTTTACGTGTCCAACGTGCTATGTGTGTAAGAAGTTGTAGGTAGTGGTGGTGGTGATTGTGGTAATTGAATGACTTTGGTCTTGCTTTATTTTCACTTATGGTTTCCCTTTTTTCTTTGTTACTTCTGTCGAAGGGGGAGTGGACGTTACCTTTTTTAACCAAGCTTTAAGTTCCTCTCGTTTGGGTGTAGGGGAATGGATCAACAAGGACGCTGAAATCGTATGATGGATTAGAACTGCTGAAAGTGTTTGAAAGACTTTTCATGTCTCTTCTTTCTCGGGCTTCCATGGGGCTGCGTCTGTCTTGATTACTGCGGTTAGTGATGGAGTATTCTTCAGGGACTTTGCAATCTTTCAGAGTCGCTGGAACTGTTTTTTCTAAAGCTTCTGGTGAAAGGGGTTCAGTTGCTATAATACATGACCGTATCCTTGTGATTCTTCCGTTTCTGACAAATCGCTACGATCCATCAACGATTACAATTCGTGTTGCAACTGGGACATCTCGGTCAAATCAGGACTGGGAGGCAAATGCGTGGTCCGTTGTTCTTGCCAGCAATGGCATTTCATTTATCATTTGTAAGGCACTAAAGGCAGTTTTAGTCCTTCCATCAGATTTGAATGGTCACGTATGAGATATTTTAATTCCAGAACCTTCTTTTGATGATATACCTACCATTAGACCCAACACTGGTCCCACTATTCCATTTACAATAAGTCCTAATATGGGCAAAAATCTTCCGTGTTGGACCAACATCTTTTTCTTTTGATGAATGGGTATTTTCTTTCGGACTATTTGGCAAAGAACGTGTCGATATTTGGCTAAGCAGTCTTTCTGATGTTTAGATAAAGGTATCGTTCCTTTCAAAACATTCAAACAACATTCGCACACGGTATCCATGACATTTTTGGAGGCTGTTTGAATGAGTTGTTTTCGCAAATGTGAAGGGGGTTTAGACAGGACAACACGTCCCAATGTTTGGTTAAGCTAGGAGGCAATCCTTTCCTTTCCTTTCCTTTCCTATTTTGTGTGCATATATTTTATGAGCTTCTCTTTTTCTTTGAACGATGCGGTCTTCCGAGTGGGTGAGCCGATGTCTGGCGAAGCATTTTTACGGATGACAAGACTATCTTTGTCTTTTTCCTTTCTGGACAGGAGAGCGACCATGATGATGACAGTGTGCAAGTCTTTGAGGAGACGTCTTTGTGTGTTCCGATCGTTTGCTCAGGTCTTTTTTAATAGTGGAATTTATCGCCACTGATTCTTTAAACTGTCCCACTTGCATGACAATGATTTTGGCTCCGTTCAAAGTCACTTTAGGACTATTCGGTACTTTGTTTCGTTATCTCATCGTGGTATAGCGAATAAAATCTCCATAATCTTGACTCCACGTCTCGTCGATCGAGTTAAGATCCATTGGGAAAAAAATCGGCCAGCATGTTAGATTACGAAAGATGTTTTCACGTCGACCAGGAATCTTGCTGCAGTGAGGACAATGACTAAAGATGGGTTCTTGGATGCATCTCTCACATGCCCAATGAGCCACGCATAAATTAGGAATGTGAAAACTTTCTTTTGTATTGCAGTTGAAATTGAAACAAAAAATTGTCTTTCTTCTTCTGATCATCTTCCTATTTGGAATGATATTTTTTAATGTAGCATTCGTGTTCTAAGTCCACGATTTGGCGACAAATGTGACGTCGACTCTTCCCTGAAGATACGTGAGCTTCGTATCACTTGTCCACAAGTAGAACACAATCTCATGAGTTGTTTTGGTTCTAGAAGATTTTTCTCTTGGGTCGTATTAAAGAAGTCTGATACATTTGTTTCAGACTCATTAACTCTGCCAAAATGTCTAAGAGTACAGTCAGCGTTTGACTTTAAATGTCCTCATTCTCTCCCAGACATTGGTTCTTCTCTGCTTTTACTTCTTCCTGTCCTTTTTCTTGCTGTTGCTGTTGAAAGAGTAAAGCTTGTTTGTTGCAAAAATTTCTTCAATTCTTTTTTCTGTCTCTGTTTAAAATCTTTTACGTGTGTTAAGGAATGAGAAGGCGGCGAAGGTACTGGTACTGAAAAAAAATTATTCAGTTGAGAAAAACTCGGCTAAATCCTAATTAAAATAGGTCTCTTCTGGAGGTAGGATTGTGTTGGCTTTGGTAACTGCTGCTATGACATCACTTTTCGTCCCCAAGGCTGGTGCACCCCAATTGATTGTCTTCTTAGTTTCCTCATGTTCTAACTCTGTCACATGGATTCACTGCACACAGACGCTAGCGCATCTGTATAGGGAATGTGATGTCACAGACTGCACTCTTTGGATTGGAAGACAGACTCCGAATTTTCGTATCGCGTGTTGGGATTGCTGAAATAACTCATTCCTTTTCGATCCGCTCTTCCACCATAAATAACTATAAGTTCACTTCGTTCCCTTCGTCACAAGATGTGTACAAATGTTGAATCTTCTACCCTCGTATCGTTGATGC